CCAATAGTAAATGGATATCCGGATAAATTCAGATATGGATAAATGGATGACGGATTTATCCGGATTGGACCTCTAAAGCAAACCAAAATTTGCATTAACACGAAATTTCTTCTATATTATTAAATTTATTATACAAATGTTACAATTTTTCTCCTTTAGGCCAGTGTCTCACAAAAATGTTAAATACAATTGTCGCGTTATCATTCATAATTGTAAAATATTATTGATCCGCCCAAAAATGTTTTTAGCTAACGATGGCAACTATCGTGAAATGAGATATTTTACCGCTTGGTCTCCAGCCCAACACGTTGAAGATTATTATCTTCCAAGGATTATTAGGAATATTACAGGGCAAGTAAGTTCTTTAATAGATATACTATTTTTCATGTTCCTTTTTTTTAATAATCATTTTCATCAAAAGACTGTAGTTCCCATTGGCGACGCGGTAGTTTCTACTATTGACACTTGTGTTGGTGTGGAATTGTGTGAAGAACTTTTTACACCCAATAGGTATATTTCCTTTTGAACGTTATTGTCATAGAATTATACTTCTAATTATTTGCATATCATAGTCCTCATATTAGTATGGGCTTGGATGGTGTAGAAATTATCACAAATAGCAGTGGTAGTCATCATGAATTACGCAAACTTTACAGACGTATTGATTTAATCAAGGAAGCAACGTTGAAGGTACATCAACCGAATTTACTCAAAAGTCATCGACTAGTAATAACAATCTAATATATTTACATTACTTGTAAGAATGGAGGCGTTTATCTCTATTCTAACCAACAGGGTTGTGATGGTGATCGTCTTTATTATGACGGCAGTGCGTTGATTGCAGTAAATGGCCAAATAATTGCCCAAGGATCACAATTTTCCCTTAAGGATGTGGTTTGTTCCTGACATGCAATCTTATTGTGCATTTCAAATACAAAACAATAATAAAATTGTATTTAATTATATTTAAGGAAGTTATCACTGCGACCATCGATATAGAAGATGTTCGCTCATACCGTGGAATGAGCAGTAGGGGGATGCAGGCTGTTAACACAGATTCATATCAACGCATTGAGGCACCTATTGCTTTGTCTTCTGAAAAAAATAAATCGTAAGCCACATTTTTCTCCTACCAAGCCTATTCAAGTGCATTATCATAAGCCGGAACAAGAGATTGCGTAAGGTCAATTTGAAATTCGGTCATTGATATGATTAGTATTAAAGTTCAACCAATTATTTAGTTTTGGTCCAGCTTGTTGGCTTTGGGATTATCTCCGTCGATCAAAAACTAGCGGTTATTTTTTACCTCTTAGTGGAGGAGTAGACAGTTGCGCCACAGCAATTATTGTATATTCCATGTGTCGTCTTGTTGTTGAAGCCGCATCGAATGGAGGTAATTCAATATAAATTTCCTTTAATAACTGTACGATAATTAAACATTTCTTCTAAATGATCGTTAGATAATCAAGTCATTGTGGATGCGAGAAGGATTATTGGTGAAAAAGAAGACTCAGATTACGTTCCCACAGACCCTAAAGAATTCGCAAAGTAATAAGCTAATGATATTTAATGAATGTTGTACAGAATAGCGATTTAAAAAATATATTTTTCTAGTCGTGTTTTTCACACATGTTATATGGGCACAGTAAATTCAAGTAAGGAAACTCGTGAACGGGCAAAAAAGCTTGCCAATGCCATAGGCTGGTTTGTTAGAATTCTTACCTATTTAAATTAGAATCGAATTAAGATGGCACTAATATTATAGCTCTGGATTGCTTCTTACAGCTATCATATTGATATGGATATGGATAATGCTGTTTCATCCGTATTTACTCTATTTAATTTGGTTACAAATAAGACACCACGATTTCGAATCGATGGTGGTACGGATGCCGAGAATTTGGCACTTCAAAATGTGCAGGTATGATTACAATATGGTTTAATACATTGTACGTTCGATTGTAGCATGGAGTTAATTATGAACTTAATCTCATAAGGCTCGATTGAGAATGGTCCTTTCATATTTGTTTGCACAACTTTTACCCTGGGTGAGAAACAAGAGTGGATCATTACTTGTTCTTGGTAGTTCTAATGTTGATGAATGGTAATTATAGATATATATCTATAAATTACTCCGTTATGAAGACACACACTTTCATCATTTTTCAAGTCTGAATCTTGTTAAAGAGAGTCTTAATGTTTGACACCCTGCTATATTAACTCTATTGTCTATTCATAAGGTGTCATTATTAACGGATATATGTTATATTCTCTTTATACTAATAAATCATAAAAATTTTCAAAAGTCTTCGAGGCTATCTAACAAAATACGACTGCTCAAGCGCGGATATAAATCCAATTGGTGCTATAAGCAAAAATGATTTGCGTAAATTTATCGATTATGCAAAAAACGAATTCGGCATTCCGATTCTGGATGAGTAAATATTTATTTCATCATTATTAATTGTTATTATTTAGAAACATGTATATTATGTGAATCCATCTTTATAGGTTTCTTAAAGCAACACCAACAGCAGAACTTGAACCAATCACTCATGAATATACTCAAGCTGATGAGGTGCGTACGAATATGTAATTTTATAATACTGCATAGCGGAAGTTTAAATAAATTAATTGTTAAACATTTAAGGTTGATATGGGTATGACATATGATGAGTTGTCGATTTTTGGTAAATTGCGCAAGATTGAACGTTGTGGGCCATTTTCAATGTTTTCGAAACTTATTCATGAATGGGGAACAGAATTGAGGCCGACGGAGGTATTTATATTTCAGGATAGCAAGCTAAGATGATCTTGTTGGTTAATCAGGCATCATTTATCGAAAAGGTTGCTGCCAAAGTCAAACGATTCTTCTACTATTATTCTATAAATCGACATAAAATGACTACGCTTACGCCATCATATCACGCAGAAACGTATAGTCCTGATGACAATAGATTCGACTTAAGGCCGTTTTTTATACAATACGGCTTGGAGTTGGCAATTTAAAAAGATTGATGCAATCTCTAACGAAATGGAAGAATGATTTTTTTTTTTTTTGAGAAGCCATAGATAATGTTTTTATTTCAAATATTTAATTCGTGAAGTTACTAAAGTATAATTATATAGATATGATAATTTTCTGTCTCTCGAAACGTCCGAATATAATAATATTCGAGTATTCGCTTGTAATCAGAAGCTTGAGGAATTAACTTTAGAAAATTTAATCGTAACTACATAGTTACTATGCAGTTACTGCGCATTAAAAGATTCAAGCTTCTGTATATTAGTATAATTATTTTAATACAGTTCCTTAAATTTTAAAACATCATTTTTATTTTAGTAATAATAATTTATAGTTATCAGGCAGGCACTGCCTGATAACTGGTTTATTTGGTCGAGGATTTTAAGATCAGACTAAGAAATTGAATTCCGAAGGAATTCAATTTTTTAGGCTGACCTTAAATCCTTGACCAAATAAATAAGTTAAAAGGCAGTATCAGCATGCCTGATAACGGTTTTATCCGGTGGCTTAATATGATTTTCTGCCCAATAATAAAATTATTGGGCAGGGACAATAATTTAAGCTATTTTAAACTTTGTTTCTGCCGATAATAAAATTATTGGACAGACAAATCATAGTAAGCTGCCGGATAATATAGGTTATGTATTACGTATCGACAATGATACAAATCGGCTCTATGATTTAATATCAATAATGTACAGGCCGGTAATGCCGTTTGGATTTTTAGCACCTCGCGTTCTCGTGATCAAAATCGTAATTTTGATCATTAATTTAAAATTCATACTAAAAATATCAGACACCAGTTAATTATGTCGATATGAGTCAAACCTCTTACTGGAAGATTTGAATGGCACGAAAATCACTTCAGATTATAAAATTATGCATAATGACCACAATATTAAAATTATAGTTTTTGATCGACTGTTTATAGTTATTCTAATTTGGATTCGCAAGATGATGACTTAATACAAGAATTTGACTATTATATTGTGGCAAACCAAGTTAATGTATTTAATGATATGGATAAGTTTATATTGTAAAATGAACAGTTTTTTTTTGCTTGATCTTAAAACCATAATTACTAACTAAATTTTTTATCCAAGCTTTTATTATTTAATACTTTCAACTTGTCATAATATTTCTCTCCGTGTTATTTACCATTCACAATTAAACTTTTCAAGGACTGAAGATGCATCTTGTACATCTTTTTGAGCCTTTTTTCTCATATACCTAAAGATATTGGGTTAATTTGTAGTCTACTAAATAAGTCAAATAATCAATAAAAGTATATTACCAAATAGGACAATCTCTAGAACTGCACAGAACGTCTTGATGTAAACTTCCTTGACACCTTTGACATTGAGTCCACAACCGGGCAAAACGGGTTTCGAATTCATTAACAGTAGCCAACTATCCATAGTAATTATTACAAACGCACTCGCAATCAAAACAATGTTAACATTTAAAAATATATTCATACTTGTTTCTGATATAATTCACCTAACTTCGGCTTGCAATGGCGACATACCACCGTACCTGCTAAAGGCAAGATTAAAGATGAGTTTCATAAATTTGTTTTAGATTTATTTTGCAATTTAAAAGCAATTACAGATATACCATCTTTTGTTAAAGGAACTTTACAACCCAAGCATGTTGGAACTATAACTGCAAATTTCATTAGGCCACCAATTGTCGGTGTTGTATGTTGAACGACGCGTGTATGATCACCAGACACTTGAGCAGATATCAAGAAATCAATTATAAGCTAGTAATACTCTTAATAAGTTATAATTACATAAAAAAACTCACGTAGAGATTCTGCTTTGTCACCTAAAATAGGTTCAAAAATTCGTAGCAGTGGTTTAGATAACTGGTTTTTCCAAGTAATAACTAGTGTCAATTGGTATGTTATTTTCTAACACATATATTGGATCTTCTGACTTTTCGTAAGCGGCTGCGCCTATATAATTTTATTGACATCATTTAGGACACGAAAAATAAATGTCTGCTGATGCTGAAATTTTGCTAGAATAATATTCAAGTGGATCATTTGACCAAAATTAAAAATTTAAAGTAAGGCCATACGAAATTAATTAATATTTATAACCTGGTCGGGTCTTTTTTTTTTTTACTGTAAAAAAAAAAAAAAAATCGATTTACGAAAACTAAGAAATTAATTTTGTATGACCTAAGTGATTATTACTGTCTTGATACCAAAAAAATTATTTAATATTTTGCGTACTCTTTGTATACTAGCACAAAATTATTAGTAGCAAAAAAGAGTATGCAAAATATTAAATAATTTTTTTAGTATCGACCATTTTGAAAACAGTAATATACATATGAAAATTTTTTATAATATTTAAGTTTAGTAATATACTTGCTGTTTATAGATTACTGCAATAGCTATTATAGATTTCAGCATCAGCTCCGACGATGAAATAATTACAACGAATATCGTGAACTATTTACCTTTAGTGCCCTTTATAATAACATAAGCCACGCGGTCTCCTAGTGTTGGTGCAGAACCTTCAATCAAAATAAATAAATAAATAAATAAAAATAAATACTTTACGATCAAATAATTGGCACGACTAGCAAGTTAAAATATCATTTACCTGGATCACGTTTACGCATACGTTCAGCTAATTCTACATGCGGTTGTTTAGCAGAATAGTCTAAATAACAAATAAAATTAGCTCAAATATTGATTTCTTAAAATGTCTTATTAGTTAAACATTACCGGATTTACTTAAAGCTTTGGTTATCACAAGTTGAGACATATCAATTTTGTTTTGAAGCAAATCAGAAATGATTTTCTTTGCATACCTACAATTGCAATGAGAAGATTATATACCGAAATTTACATAATATAACTAAAAAAAAAAAGTTACATACGCCACAGCCCCAGAAACGTCTCGATCAATTAACACTTTTCTTAAGCATGTTTCGATTACATTCTGAACAAGTAGACAGTTATCACGTCTAACTGTCTATTTATTTTAAAGATTAAAAAACACAATCACATTTAATGATTAATAAGTAGCCTGTGAAAAAAACTACCTCAATGCCTTTGGTGTCTAATTTATCCCACTTTTCAGAATTTGTCCAATATAGGCCAGCATATCGTTTTTTGTTGATTAACAAATATGGAAAATATACTTTTTCGAATTCTAACTTTATTGGCCTTAGAAATTTCCCTGTGACATATTCAGCCGCTTCTTGACCTGAATTTTTATTTTCAGCTAGGTTTAAGATTTTATATCAAGATGAAAAATTGGAACAAAAAAAAATTACCAAGTTTCATAGATTCAACTAAATTGTCCACACCGAATTTAACCATGACAGAATCGGTATCACCGTAAATAACTTGAGCATCATGTTTATAGCCGTTTTCAATAGTAAATCGACTTTCTACTTCCTGCAATAATCATACTAGTGTCTTAAATTTTTTCAAATAATTAATATCTACACTGAATCGAATAAGCAAGCAATACAAACTCGCTTGGTTTGTTCAATCATTTGGCGTCCGTACGCTGTGACACTTGCTGATATTTCAAGGCAAGGCATTTGACCTGCTGATGCACCAGTAAAGCCATAAACTGAGTTTGCGCTAATCTATTGAGAAGAAATTTAAAAGTGTTTAATGGAACTATGCATGTTATCAAAAGATTCTTATTGCTTAATTAAATACCTTTAAAGCTAATTGACGCCCATCTAAAACTGCTCTTTTAAAGGGATCCGTCTCTTTTTTGAGATCAGCTTTTGCTTTTTTACGTGCAGAAAGCAAATCTTCAAGAATAGATGGTAAAAGACCCTTTCGAACTTCTGCTTTCACGAACCGAGCTGAAAATAGCAGTTATTTTAATGTCAAGTTGGAAGATATTTTTAAAGATCAAATTACGAGCAATCAATATGCCACCTGACTGATATGGCGTAATTATGTAGTCACTGTCATTCTTTAATTTTAAATTTTCTATTTCCCTTTGATCTACCAACGTCGTATAGCAAAGATTGTGCGCCATCATAATTGATGGATACAATGAACTAAAATCAAGGGTTGCGATTGGAACATTATAAAATCCTTTTTCTGGATCAATTACAGTTGCACCTTCAAATGGTTCATCGGTCCCTATAAATCAATTATCAATGAAATATAATTTAATGCTGAATTTATAACATATATGTAATCCCCAAAAAACGACATACCTTCTACGTTTTTTCGAACGGGTATAACAAAGTCTTGTTCAATTGCCTTTCTATACAATTGCGAAATAACTTTAATTTGCTGACCACGTGATAAAAGATAGTTGAAAGGTACACCGGTCACACGGGCCATTTCCAAGTAATTAATCAGACACATGAGCTTATCCATAAGTCGTTGAGGCAGGTATGCATCCTAAATATATGCACAATTGCTTATTAACGGAATAAAGTTCAGAAAATTAACATAGTAAATAACGATAATGAACCTTCAAGCAATAAATTGCTAAACGACGTCGTGTTTCAGGGTTCCCGTTGTGTAAATCTGTGATGATAGAATGGTGGACATCTTCTTTTTGTTCGCCTATTTCAAAAGTGTAAAATTAACTGGCGTCTATATGGAATTCTAACAAATAAATTATATTCACCTAGAAAATGAGCACAGACTGAATTAAGGGTATATGACCTAAGCTTGTAGTCACGTTGCATAACCTGTAGCATATCTAATTGAATTCTTCCGTCAATATGTAGCATTAGTTAAGAACAAATATTATTTCATATAATTCTTTTATAATAAAATTTTTCAGTAAAGGATATTGGTTGTTTTGTTTTCCCGAGTTCCATACGCTTTCGAAGAAAATCTAGTATCCCTGACTTCAACTCTAGTACCTTGATGAATTGCAAAATTAATGAATATTAAAATTTTATTTTTATTTTATTATATTTTTAGACAGCATAATTATGTAATTACTTTTTTATGCGACCAAAATACGGGAATTTTGTAACTTTCAAATGAGCAGCTCTATCAATTAGATACGGTAAATCAAAATTCGCGATATTATATCCGATTATAACATCAGGGTCAGCCTATTATGTGTACCGTTAGAAATGATGATAATAATAATACTCCTTGTAAATGACATGAGTCTCATACCTCAACAACAAAGTCGCACCAGGCTTGTAGCATATTACCTTCGTCATAATATTCTAAAACGTCTGTCGCAACAATTGGTGCACATGAATTTAACGTAAAGACATTTCTAACGAAGGGGTTCTTTTCACCTAAATAGAATGAACATGACAATAAGAGAAAATAGTTTTCAATGCATTAAAAAAATTATTCTATTTATTCAACCTTGAATTGTGACCATGTTGGCAATTTGAATCACAGGATCTTGTGCCGCCTCAGGAAATATTCCTTTGCGTCCAGCACATTCAATGTCAAAACTCAAAATGCGTAATGGAGCGATTTTTAACCAATTCCCTTCGGGCGGATGACTAATAAATTGATCATATCTATCATATTGTGAAAGAATATAATTTATGAATATTGAAAAATGAAAAAAATCCTTATATGAAAATGAATAAAGATACCTAGTAATAATTTCTAACTGACAGTGTGAAAATCTTTCATACTCTGCACAAAATCGATAAGATTTTGGCGGCAATTCGATCCAATTTGCCCCAGTTACCTGAACAAGTAAATTGTAAAATTTTGATATTTAGTACACATTCCAAATGTAACCATATTTATTATCGAATACTACTAACCTTACAATCAATCATGAATCGCAAAACATATTTAAGATTACTTTCAAATGTTATTTCTCCGGCTTCTCTACCTTTATAGGTAAAACTCCCATCCTCAATTATACGCCTAGCAATATTTAATATTTTTGTATCGACAAAGGAAAGTTTGAGAAATGGGCACTTTTGCTTTCCGTGATATCCTTGTATGGTTTCTTTAAGTTTAACTTCAACCTTATTCAATAATTCCCGCCCGCTTGAAGAAGTTTCTTGCTGAAGAGCTAGCTAAAAAATTGACGAAATATTAATAACTCAAAATCATTGATAACCATTTAATGATTTGATCATTACTTCGAGACTAGACTTGAATTCAGCAATATCACCACTTTTAAATCCATTTGGTGCTGGGATGTAAAAATAAGGCAGAAATCCTTTGACATAGCATAAAACACTGTTCCCTGCCTAATAATTTAGAAGAAAAGTTAGTAAACTATTTTATTAATCGACACTGTCACAATTTCCGAATACCTCTGTCAAGCCAAACATACGGATCATCGGCGATCTGGATGCAGAGTTAGGATCGATGCACTCATCGACTTCGATTTGCTGAAATACTGAAAATTTATTAGGAATTCAGTAATCACTAAACATACAATATATGAGACACTCTCGTTATAGTGAACTCTCGATATAGTGAGCTTAAAACCAAACTACATAAAATTCTCTTGACATGGTGAAATTTACTAATCAAACCCTCGACGTGTTTAACTAATAAACTAAACACTTCATTATAACGGGAATGACGTATTATACTTATGTACTTATTGAATGTTCTTCTGGGTTTATGTATGGAATACTTGGACGAGCCCAGATTTGGCGTGTTCTGGTTGATTCCACTAGAGGTTGGCTCCCTTGAATATCCATCACGGCTATTTAAAAAATATTCACGAGTTTTGTTATTCAGATAATAAAATGAATATCAAGAATTTTACATGAATACGCGTAAAAAAATTCACGGTCAAAAACCACAATCACGTGATAGTTGTGGCACTATTACAGTATATTAATAATAATTAACTATCTCAGCTAATCAAATCCAAGAGACCTACACGTGGGCAGGGTGCAGTAATTTTTTTTTTAAAAGACTAGAATAAAATTAGGGTTCAAAATTATTTTTTAATTTACAATATATAGTATATATATTAAGTTTTGATGTTAAACCATTTAACTGGAAATGGGCTCTAAAAAAGTGCCTCTAAACTATAACGAAGTACCGTAGTGCACTGACCAAAAGACCCGGGGTCTAATACAAAATACCCAACAAAAAACTTGCAAAAGACCCGGGTATATTATACAGCAGCGGGCCAATGTCGCAAGAAAAAAAAATTTCAAGCATATAAATATTCTGCACTTACAATAAGCAGTCTAAAAATTTTAAAAAAACCTATATTAATTAATAGAGGTCTCGTGTTT